CAAGGCCTTCTAAGCACATCTGAACCTATGCAAGTATTAACTCACAGAGACTACGACAGCATGCACAGGGCCTACATGGGTCAGTGCCAGATAAAGTCACAGCCCTGAGACAAGTAGACCCAAACCCCATCCCTAAACCAGAAACTATCTCAGAAGTTACAAACCACTCTTGAGGTCAGGTCCCATGCCCAGCAGTAGAAGGCCAATACAAAACAAACTCAATTGCTTCTTCGGAGGTTCTTTGTCTTATAATATTTTGTCAGAACACTTTGTGTGTATGCTATGGCTTCTGTTTGGGGTTTTATGAGATTCCCATGTGTATGAACAAGTGCGATTTTCTGTGTCTATATGTGTTTCTTGTGCTTTTTCTTTAGCTTTTATCTTGTTTGTTTATTTTATTCTATTTGGTTTGTTTTGTCTTATCCTTCTAATTTTATTATTATTTTATATGCCTGTTTGTTTTCTAAGGAGAGACAGAAAGGGTATGGATTTGGGTGGAAGGGTAGGTAGGGATGATCTCAGAGGAGTTAGGGGAGGGGAAACAGTAATCAGAATATATTGTATGAAAAGGTGTATTTTCAATAAAAGAAAAATCAATAAAAAACAAAAATTATAATGAGAAACTTATAGCTCAACTATAATTGTTGAAAATTTATAATAAAATGAATAAAATCCTATGTATATACATACCAACAAGACTTACTCAAGAAATATTTGAAAATATACCAACACTAATAATGAGATTAAAGCAGCTTTTAAACATTCTTTCATCAAAGAAAAGCCCAGAAATGGCAGCCACACTGTTGAATTCTACAAAAAATTAAGAATAATTAATATTTCTTTTTAAGCTACGGAAACAAATCTAAACTAAACTAAAGAACATGTAAAGGAAGTGAATCTTTCAAATCCAAAGTAAGACCAGCCAGCAACCCACATACCTAAGTCAGAAAAGCAACAAATAGAAAAGGAAAAGTGCAAATCAGTATGTGTGTGTGTGTGCACGTGTGTGTGCATGTGTATGTGCAAAACCTTCCATGAAAACACTAGTATATCATTTCAAGAAGAATATTAAAAGAATCTGCTGGCATAATCTAGTAGAATTCATCCTATAGATGTGAGTGCAGTTTAACATACTTAAATCAATAAACAAAATAGGTCAAATTAACAAAAGGAAGGAAAGGGAGTTCTTGATAGAATGACTTTCAGCAACTCGATATCTCTATGACAAAGACTCAATGAATCAGAAAAAAATCAACATCATAACGGGAGTGAATTTCATACTAAATGTGGGGAAAGATAAAAGATTTTCATTTAAGATAGGGACAAATCCAGGGTACTTAATTTATCACAGCCATTTAACATATAACCAAAATTCTTAGTCAGAATTATGACAAAAGAAATTTAAACTATTTAAATTGGAAAATAAAAAGTCAAATTTGTCACAGTCCAGGTTCATGAAGATTAATGCAATGCCTCTTGAAATTCTAATTATTTTTAGGATAAATAGTATTCTTTTCTGTGTACATATACCCTATCATCTCTAGAAATTCATCTGTTGATGAACAATTTGATTTCATATTTGTCTAACTGTGCGCAGTGCTGAATAACTGAGAAGTTGCAGATGTTGATCAATATTAACTTAGTAGTCTTACACAGAGAAAATCCTAAAAACCACCTAAAAATCTGTAAGAACTTAGGAACATATACTGTGAAGTTGAAAGATACAAAAACCATGTATGCACATAGCTTTCCATGTGTCAATGAGAAACTTTGCGAACTAAATCATAAACTCATTTTCATTTACAATAACTACAGAGCCAGTAAGATGCCTTATGTGTTCAGTCTCAGCACTTAAAAGACTGAGGTATGACCAGTTCAAGACCAGACTGAGCTACATAATGAGTTTCAGGCAGCCTAGGCTAAAGAGTGAGACCTTGTCTGGAAAAAGGCCAAAAAAAGGCTTAGAAAAAGCTTTACCAAAGAAATGAAAGACTTCTTTAATGAAAACAATAAAACATTGATGGGATAAAATTGAAGATGATACAAACAAATAGAAAATATCCCCTGAGCATGGATTGTTAGAGTTAATATCACTAAAATGTCTATACTGCCTGGAAAATATTAAATGAGAGAATACATGCAAATAAAGAAAAATAATATGTTAGAGTTTTAAAAGTTATTCTCATAATATGAAGAATGAAAATACACTTACCAGTGACTGGTAAGTCAGGAGGTTTCAAAGGACCAGGACAGGGGTGTCAATGTATACAAAGCTTCGCTTAGGTAGACTAAGTCTTGATGCTCTCTATAATGAACCATGACTCCAATTAACAATAATGAACCACACCCAAAATAGATAGGAGAGATTTGAAATCTTCTTTCTCCCCAAGAAATGGAGAAATATTTAAGGTGATAGATAGGGAAATTAACCCGATGTGGTATACAACCATCATAACAGCACAGTGCCTTAAACAAGTCCAGTTACATGCATCAAAAGCAGAACAAAAAATCAAAAAAGGGAAAAAACAAAATATACTTTCCAATGAATTAGGAAAATATTGGTAAAAGTCATATAAAACCTCTTAGAAAGGCCAGAACTAACCAAATCAGGTAGTTACAGTGAGAGAGGTTTACCAGATTTTGGTATTTACTCCTAGTTTGGGGGACCTTATGTGTGAGAATCATCATTAACATTGTATGACCTCACCTACATAAAACTGTCTAGCATGTGAAGATGCTCACAGTCTGTAAGTCAAACTACAAACTATTTGTGATTCTTCACCATTTTGCTTTTGTCTTTTGTGGTTTTTCAAGTTTCAGTATATAGAATTATGTGTGTGTGTAGTTGAAAAAATAAATTCTACTAAAAACCATCCCATTTCTCCTTCATTCATGGTTTAGTAGGAAAGGTACGTATAGTAATAAACTGAAGTTGTGTGTGTGTGTGCGCGCACGCGCATGTGTGTGTGGTCTCAGGCACTTGTTAGCATAAGTTGGGGTGACTATTCTCACTACCCCTGTAAAACTCAGGGCTCACGGCAACTGCTTTGCTTCCTCACACCTGTTGAAATTGATTGCAACATTTGTGTGCAAATACCAGATTAATCTCCCTTTTATTCTTATACGTATGGAACTTGGGCCCACAGATCCTCTTCTGATGTGACTGCATCCAATTTTTCCTCACTAGTTACAGAGAGAGAAACACTGTGACAGGTCACAAAGTGGTGACCATTTGGCCAAACAGTTCTCTCTCTGTCTACTATAAGGAATTAAAGACAAGTCAGCCCTGATTTGCAAAATGCAACTCTTAGTCATATGAACACTCTTTGGCCTGTGCATGACTTCCTTTAATTAAATGAAAATACCATTTGTGTGATTGCAATGCAAAGTTTTTTAATTTCAACATTGATTTTTGTTGCTTTTTTAAAAGCAAGATCTATAAGTAGCATTGTGTGTGTGTTGTTGCTATGACAACATTCTCTCCAAAAATTTATAAAATTCAGCAAGAAAGAAGACTAGCGAGTTTAATTGGTTAGAAGGTCACAAAATCTTTGTTATAAATGAAATATGAAAATTCCAGGTAAAATATAAATAAAAGTTAAGTACTAAAGCACTACCTTAACAAATGACCATAAGAAGGAAAGACTAAATTATATATCTAATAAAAACATAGACATCAAATTTTATCTAACACAAACTCATAATTTTATTTCTTTTCATATCAGTAAGTTGTTAATTACACATTTTATAACTAAAATATTACATTATATCACCATGTGCATAAGAATGTGATATAAATCAAAGTCAAAATTCTTTTATGTTTAACAATAACAACAAAATAATATTTGACTACAGTGTTTAATGGTATACATTTTATTATATTTTCAGAATTTTCTATTATGTTTAACTTTAATGATTGTAGCTCTTTTAAGCAGTTACAAATTAGCCAATAAACATGTGTAGGCATTTGAACTTAATACAAAGACACTATAACATTTTCCTGTACATCTGCTCACTGTAATGCATGTTTACATATTAATGTGCAGGACAAATTTGTAAACATGAACATTTGAAACCTTGAGAGGAAATGATACTCGCTTGTTTACTCTCAATATTTTATTGAAACAACATGTCAAATTTGGCCAGTTCCACATGTGTAAATAGTTTTAATATGGGATATGTTTCAAATGTTCTGTGTTACCTATTCATTCTGTTTTATGTTGTCATTTAAACCATGTTTATTTATATAAATGTAACACAAAATAACATTTAATCGCAGATCAAATCTAAAGAGATTAAATGTATATCAAGGTAGTTATATCAAAGCAACTACCACCAGTGCCCAAACTATCTATACAATTGCTTTGTTTTTAACTGTTCCAATAGTCATGTTAAGTTCAAATGAAATACACTGGTAAACTGTTGCTGTATACTAGGAGTTATTGATTGTTATTTTGGCTGGTTGAATATTTTTCACCACAAAGTCAACATAACTTTAAATTAAAATAAGAAATTGTGCATATGCCCTGTCAATTCAATTATCAAAGTGTAGCATATGCAATTAAACATTTCTAAATATATTTAAATATATCTCCACTTAAGCATACATAATTAATAACATATGTAAGTATCTAATGAGTAGATTTTCTATACAGCATCTCTTTAAGACTGAGAGAAAAAACACAGTGTAAATCATTTTAAGGAAAGCTAAATATCTCATTGGAGATTATACACATACACACACATGGGTTAAGTGCATAAATACACATACTAGAGTGACATCTTTAATTTATAAAACCATATCCATACAATAAAAACTTGTTAGTGAGATTAAATAAGGAGGCAAAAATGTAAAAAATGCTCCTACTTTATACGTATATATATATATATATATATATTTACAGTTCTATTACTTGAAACGTACTAAATTAGTTATTAGCATGCATATGAACTTTCACAAAATAGATTTTAGTATTTAAACAACACATTTATTTCAGCTACATTCTGGCTACCTGCTTTGTGTGCCTTCATTTTCCCTAAGGTGCAAGAATAGAAATGGTTAGGAGGACTTAAAGAAAAGCTTCCATCATGTCCAGTGCAGATGCTTGTCGTCATGCATTGTTGGCACCCTTATGCTGTCAGCACATGAGATGCTGATGGGTCAAAGACTGATTCTTCCTTGAGTCATCACTTGCCGAGACTAATAGTTGGTTTCTTTGCCTCACAGGAGAATGAAATCATGTTCATTCCCAGACCATATGGAGAACTCATGCCTTGAAAGCAGTGTGAAACATCTCTTGATACAGCTTGGGAGTTTTGAAGAAGCCTCTTCATTCTCAAAGCACACTAAATAGAAGTAATGGCATTAGTTAACTTGAAGATTCTAAAAGAATGTCACTTAAAATGCTATAAAGTTAAAGTTACAAAAGTATAATATCCATAGAGTTTAGGCACCCAACAGTGAAAAGAAATAGTAAAGATATTGATGTTATAAATCATGTTAACTAAAGTTTTCTATTAATATTTAAAAGATAATAGTTAATATAATATAGCAAACTGTCACTTAGAACTTCAACCAAGTTCCACTTTTGTCATTGATTTAAGCTTGACTATTCCACAAAATATTCTCCTGACCAGGGAATGTGACTACAGGTTTAAGCTTGACAGAGGATACTAGGATAAAATAGCATTCCATTATTTCCTGACTCAATGTGCAAATTTTACAAAATTGATGCAAGGATTATTTTCTCTAGATTTAGTTGGGAAAGTTACATACCAGGTCAAGTTAAAATCAGATATTGAAATATAATCTGTTGTTTTCTTTTAAAAGAGGAGAGGGGTGCATAATGTGTGTATGTGTATGTATGTATGTATGTATGCATGCATGTTCAAACCAGGTGGAGACAGAAGTTTTAATTACTAGAAGTTGGAACTTATGCAGTATCATGTGACCACTTTTATTTGCTAACAGCTTCTCACTCTGTCTATCCAGATGCTTTTGAAAGTTTTTAAAAGCAAGGCAGTTAAATGTGAACAGATAGATTTTTGTTGTTGTTCTGTAACTATAGTTACAATATATCAACTTTCATAAATTCTGTATCATCCATTTAGGAGCTGATAGCAAGGGCATTAAGCATTAAACATTAAACATTTATATGCAGAAGCTTGACACATTAACAGATTTCTGTAGATGAACAGTTTATTTCAAGGGAAAGGGCTACTTGATGGAGCTTTCTTCCAAGTCAAATTTTCTATGAAGACTTTCCCTCATTTACTATAAGTAAAAGTGTGAAGGCACAATTTATGAATTTTTAATGAAATAACATAAGATAAATACCAAACACTAGCATTTAAAATTTTCCCTCTATTAAGTATTGATGGTGTAATTGCATATGCTTATATTTATGACTGCAACACATAAAAAGTCTGACATTTAAAGAATTCGTATATATACCCTGGAATAGTTATTAAATTATTGTATTCCCTTATATAGTAATTAAAGAACAACTCAGAGATTGTCAGTTAAATAACGTTTTGTTGTCACTTAATGAAGAAACCACATATAAGCTATCAAATAGTATCATTATAATTTGATAAATCAGTTACATTAAATCCATAATTTATTTTACTAAAGTTTGCCTACAGAGTTCCTATTGTAGATTAAGCATAAAGGTGTACTTGTTTCTTTAATCCCTTCCTTAATAAACTTGTATAGGACATGTTTCATGCCTCAGAGACTTTTACAATAGATACCCCATTACAGTAAATTGCAAATAATATGTTCTCTTCATTAGACTTTGCAACCATATACTGTTCTATCTATATTTCTGGAAGCCAGGGGCAAATACTATATAGGAAGGTATATTTATAAGGAATATTTAGGAGGGAATAAATATTTTGGTCAATATGATAATAAGTATATCATATTCCTGCTGTGTTTTAGAAAAACAAGGAAAGGTGTTGGCAGGTTGGTTAGTTATAGGAAAAGTCAAGTCATATTGCTGTAATTAAAGGACCTTGGCTTAATAAAATGAATGCAACTATTGCTGTAAATGCTAACATCTCATTGATTTTCGAAAGCTAAAATGAAGTTTTCTTTTTACTTTTATCCATCTCATTTACCATGGCTAGCACACAAGATGTGAAAATGAGAAATAATTCTACCAATGTAATGCTACTTTCATATCTATGGACAAATCTGTTCCCTCACCTTTTTTTTGAGGACAAAAAATTTTTGTTTTAATATGTAGAATAAATAGACTTTTTAGAGGAATACATTACCATACTTCATATGTAAAACATCCAAAAATAAAAGAAAACAAGGATTGAAGTTATTTGGAATGCTTTACGTATCATTTGATCTTTGCATCCCCTTCAGCATTAAATATTATTCAGGCTACACAGATTAGTTGAAAACAATACTTGGAAACTTGTGGTCCCTGTCTACACCTTAAGACTGCAATTATGATTTCTTTCATCAACAAAATACAAATCAAACAAATGATTCAGTTGTTTACCACAATATCTTGGTATATATTTATAGTGTAGCCAGCCTTCATAGATAAGACGGAAATACTTTTATTGTTTTTACACAAATTATATCCATCTTGATTTTGTTTTCGTTAATAGGTAAAACACAGATGAATGGCGTGTTCACAATGTTGTGACTGGAGATAATCTCCTGTCATTAATTATCACTGATGGCTTATCTCATCAAATAATATTTATTAAGTAACTTACTTGAGAACCAAGGCTATTATAATGTCATATTCTTACAGGTCATAGATGGCGTTATAGAAAGATTCTTGTAAACATTTGTTAAGTTACTTCAAATGCAAAATAAACAAGGCTGTTCATTTAGGAAGTTTTAAGAGACATTGCCCTTTCTTTAATTAAAAATAAAGAAAATAGGTGCTTACATGTGAATGTCTTAAAATGAAATCGTTGTCCCATTAAAGGCATTGGTTGACTGCTGGATACCAATGTGAATGATCACATCTGCCTTCTGCAAAAGAAATCTGGCTGTTGTCATTTTCACTGAGATGTTTGGTAGCATTTTCGAGTCTAGATGTCATGGATAAGTTGTACCTATAACAACCATGGGAAGGATGGAAAGGGCAACTGAGTGTTTCTTGGGCAATGAGGTTTGGTTGGAAAATGTTTCCAGGATTCTGTAATCCATATAACATTAGATTGGCAGAATGAGATGCTTGTAGACACTGCCCATTGCCGTCTTCATGTAAGCCATTGTTTGAATTGATGATGCCCCTGGAGGATACCATGGGCACTTCCATCATGAATCGGGGTAAAGACTGAGAACTGTTGAAGCTTGGTAGCCTTTCAGGAGTAGGTAAGGCGAAAGGTTGTGGTCGCCAAAAATTAGTTGAACAAATCTTGTAGCAGAAGGGGAGGTTTATATTTTGCAGGTATGTGTCTGAATAGGTCATTCCAAAGGAGCTCGGGGGTATGTGAAGTGAAGGTGTAGGTGGAGAACAAGAAGGAGAAAGTAAGGTGTTCAAAGGAGAGGGAGCTCCTCCACTAGAGGTCACTGGAGATGAGCCACTGCTTCCACCTGTGAAAGACAAGTCAGTCAGTGAATAATGAACCTGATTTTCCTGATGAACCAGTAATCATATCTATTTATTGCCCTCTCTGCTCCATTCTTGGAGTGGTTTTCTTTGCATGTTCATGGTTCTTTCAGCTTGGGAAAAATATTTTTGTTCCTTCGACTGACTCTGAATACGGTTGCTCCATTGCTGGCAGTCCTGCTACTGCAACATACTACAATGCATCACACACTGAGCATTGGCTCTGCTCCAGGCCTTGACATTTTACCCAACAGTTAAAGAAGCCCCATATGTAACTCAACCAATAACATATTATGAACAAAAATTATCCTTTTGTTTTTTAAAACTGCAAATTAAACAAAATAATTTGTTGTTTGGGATTTTGCAGATCTTTTCCGTGTAAAAATCAAGTAAATATGAAAATAATTTTATTGATAAAAAATTAATGATCATTAACACTTTGTCTTATGTGAAAATCATAGATTTTGAGATTTCCCTGTTTCTTTTCTATCAAGAATTGAAGGCGGTGTTTCAAATTTAGAAACATCAAGGTGAGAAGGAAAATGTTTACTCTATGACATCCAAAGTCTTTTATTGTTTAACACAGTGGTCCTCAAGCTGTGAGTAGTGCCCATTTGGTAGAAACTTATCAGATATTTACATTATGATTCACAGCAGTCACAGAGTTACAGTGATGAAGTGGCAATGAAATAATTTTATGGTTGGGGGGGGTCACCACAGCATGAGGAACTGTATTAAAGGATTGAACATTAGGAAGGTTAAGAACCACTGGTTTAACAGATAATAAAATTAGGAGTACAAGACAACCTAGCCTTTGAGCTTTATTTTTATAAATGTTTTAATTCAATCAATTATGTTTGACCATACTTGATGAATTTGGGAGATTTTATTGATAATTTTGATATTTTTCTTGGGTGTATATAAAGATAAATACACACTAATATTTTATCAGCAGAGTGACAAATATCTGTAATAAAACAATCAGAAGTTATTTTTTAAATGATTGTTCTTCTCCCATATGAATGCACTCTTCACACTGTAAATGATGAAATTAACTATTTTAAGTGATCAATGAATGGTCACTTTTGTCCTTTTTCAAATTAGGTTATTTGGATATTTTAAATGCATGTCGCCTATTGTTGTCAGTTGAATTATTCTAGTAAAACAACTGTTCATAATCTTCTATAATGCCTTAAAGCACATCATTTCAACAAATGATTATACTTCATTTCTTCACATTGCAATTACTTGTTATGGCACCATGTAAAACTTAAGTGTAATGTTGATGTCTTGCTCCATAAAAGTAATGATAAGGAAGTGTCCAAAGACAAGCACCTTTAAAGGGGTAAAGAAGAATGGAAAAAGTTTTATGTTGTTCATAAATAAAATATTCTATTTATAGTTCGATATTTCAGAAATAAAGGTATGGATTATTTCACTGAAGCACATGCATAATGCAACTATGATGATGATGATGCATTCATCAGGCAATGTACTACCTGAGAAGAAACACATTACAAATATTTTTAATGACTTATGGCAATTAAATAGGTTGTGATGCACAAGGGCAAGAGCTGTATGGTTTCACTCATATGTGAACTATAAAAGGTGGCCTTAGGACAACTGAGAACATAATAATGGCTACCAGATACTGAAAGAAATGGGGGTTGACTAGGGCTGGAGAAATGCCAAATCAGTGGCTTCCAAGTTATAGTGAGACACAAGCAAGAAGTTCATCTGTAGTACTGTAGGGAGACTATAGTTACCAATAATATGTTATACTTTTGAAAACACTACAGTAGACTTTGAAAGTTTTCATATATAAAGGTAACAAACGCTTGAGGAGATAAACGCAACTGAGTGAGTGTAAACTTTTTTAATGCATACATGAATAAAAACATCACATGGTACATTATGGATACACTCAATTTTATGTATAAGTAAAAGAGTATTTAAAAATATTTTTAAAAGTAGACAAATTGCCCCACATCCATGCTATATTTAGTTCATTTTGTGGTTTTGCATGCTGACAGTTCCTTTCTTGGTTTATTAATCATAATTTCTTAATTACTACTTTCTGTTTGTAGTATTCATCTTTTAATTTCTGTTTCCCTTCAAGTAGTACTATACCACACCCTGTATAAGAATTTGTAATCTTATACTTGCATTTATTTCTTCCCAGCGCCTCTACCATGCTCATTATCACTTTACATTACACTCTATAAATTCTACAATATGATGTTACCTTGTATTGTATGTTCAGTGACTTTTTAAATAATGTGAAAATAAGAGGAACGCATACATGACAATAAAGTAGATGTGAGAATTTAGGGTTCTCTTTCATACTTTTTTATATTTACTTCTCATGCAATAAGAAGGTAAACTAGAACTAAAAAAAGGTTAAAAATGAAATCATTCAGTATATGATAAAGATAAACAAAAAATAACCTATACAGCTAATATATTTTTAAATTAGGCCACAAATGGGCCGGAGGCACAATAGATTCTTTACATAAAAGAATGAGATACTGTGAAATCCATGCATGACATCATGATAAGAGAGGAAGATAATTCAATAAGCTGATAAGCAATATATCCAAGAGCAACATAACTTTATTATCTCCTGTAGGTGTCAGTTTTTCTGTTTGTCCTTCTTACTTCCCCACAGAGTAAATACATATTGGTTGTGAACACATATATTTTTAGCATACACATATCTCTTTGTGTAGTATTCGGTACAAGAATTTGACTGCTATTACTGCATTAATATGTAAAAATAAAGCCAAAAGTTAACGGTTTCCTTACTTTGTGTGTCTGCAACAAAGGATTTAAAATCCACAGTGAAAGAAGGCCTCCATGGGTAAGTCTCTAAAAACCCATCCAGTACACCCCTAAAAAAAAGATAGTTATTTTCAACAACTCCAGAAAACACTTAGTGAATATAATGATTCATATAAACCTGTCCTTTTTTGTGAGCAATCATCTGAACTATTATTTTCACTCATAGCTAGGATCTGAGTACATTTCTGTAAATTCCACAAGTCTATACTACACAATATCTTAACCCTGGCCAGGAGGTACAGTAGAAAAAGTCATGGCTTGGGATCTACACACACAGTTTCTTTTCCTCCCACCTACTATCCATAAAGGTGGAAGCTTCTGAGTGTCTCCTCCACGGTTATCTTATCTATAATACTCAACACTCATCCACAGTTATATTATCTATAATACTCATTAAAGAGCTACTCTGTATGACTGCAATTCTACTTACCTATGATTTCTAGTAGTTATTTAAGAGGCTACACAATTATTAAATTAGAATGCTGTTTTACATACCTGTTTCTCCCAGGATCTCTAAATCCTTTGGCAAAAGGATTCCTGTCTATTTTCAGTTTGGTAATCTATGAATTCAAAAGAAAGACATAGAGAAAAGTCCAGTCTATGTTCGCAACAACAATGCTGCCATTATAATGTGGAAATAAATGCGAGCAGACAGCTAAGTCAAATTTAAGATGATTGTCTCCTTTGCCTACTGGTTCCTTCTGCTATGATCTCCCCTTTAACAAAAGAACCATACAACTTTCTATCAAATGTCACTTGATAATGAAGTAAAACCACGACTTTTTCCCCCTCTACTGTTTAAAACATAAACCATACGATGCTGTCCCATATTCTATCCCAATATACCACTGGGGCCACTCCCACTTCCCGGATTCTCGACTGCTTTACCTGCTGGTTTTGGTAAGCTGTCACAGTAGTGAATTCAGTTTCTCTAAAGGAGAATGTTTTGACTCTTTCAGTAGGAAGGGACTGAATCAAGGACAGGTCAATCCCGCTGTCCTGCTCCATCACATGCACACGGGGTTTGTACTTATGCATGGACTGCAAAATAATCTAAGAAAGAAATGGTTAGGTGCCATCTGAAACACCCACTTCTCCCCAACATCACCCCCTGTTTATGATAACCCCCAATGAAGACATACCAGCCAAAAAACCTAGATGACAGTATTCAGGAAGGCTCAGATCACCACAAATCAGGACTTTGTTGAGAGTTTTGATCCCCTCCTGGCTGAAGGCTTTCCAGAGGAAGGCACCACAGCAATACTGACACCATGTAGCCAATTTCATAGCCAGATTGGGGCCTTTCCTGCTTCCAAATGCGGATGACCATGTGATTTGGACATGTCATGAGGACCTGATCATCTGATATAAATTCTCTGGGCAGTAACTGATGGTCCCAAATGTGCCCAGAAACCTGTTATTTTCCACCTCCTAATCCTGGTAGTTTCCTTCTCTCCTTTTGTGACTGGCACAAGACTAGGTTGGCAGGGCCCAGGCAGAAGTGTACCTAGGGAGAAGCCTCAAGATCCAGGAAACCTGAAAATAAGCAGGAACTGACTCCCATGGCAGCAAGTTGTGGACATTTACAGTCTGGATTCTCATTTGCTGCCTTGCATCCTCCCACCAAACCATATCAAAGACACCCCTGAAACCAATGTTTGAACTCCAGGAAAGGCGAAAGACCTCAGTGTTGCTGGGGAAGGGATGACTGACAGTCCTATGAAGTGTTCCCTCCCTCTCTCAACTATAGGACACTCTCTGTAGCTTAAACTGGTCTCTTCTTTGGGTTGTTTGGGCCCTGGAGCTCCCTGCAGTCATTTCCAGAGTCCAGCACTCTTTGGTGGCAGAGCTTCATGAGCCCTTTGTGATCTCTGACATTTAAATCCAGGAGCTTGGTTCCCAAAACATTCAACACTTACAAAGAAGAATGACCTTTAGAGTACTACCTCTGGCCAGAGGCTTGGCACCTACCTCCTCCAGGAGAAAGATTGTGCTCACTTACATGGCCCTTGTCATCCGTCTCATTGTTGGTAAGTTTCACTCGATCAAAGGAGATGATTTGCCGCATCCAGGTTTCGCCGGAGCAAGGGGAGTCCGGGTGGATGTAGAATCTGGGAGTGATGCCCGAATGGTCTGTATTCCCAGCTACCATCCACTGTGAGCTGTGATACACGTACCTGAGGGAATAAAAAACAGCAGGGTGTGGCTTCAGGCTCAGCCAGCACAAAGTCAAGGGATTAGAGGCTTCACCAAAGATTAAAACGTTTATTCCAAAGACTAGCAATTAAACAGAAGATCCAACTTCATCTTCAAAGGCAACAAACAAACAAACAGTAAACAAGCATCTGCCACCAAATGCAATGAAGTGTCCGGGTGAGCATGGGATATCTGAGTCTGCTATTTCCTCACAGAAAGTGGAACAGAAATCAGTTTGATTCATTTTCCCCACTGCAGCGATGCCTAAAAAAAATCCACAAATGACAAGCAAGAACTACGGTGAACAAAACAGAGCTTAATAGTTTCAGTGAAAGCCCTTTCTTGCTAGGAACGACTGCACACCAGAAAATTCCAAAGGAACTCCTCCCCGCGCTGCCTCCCGGCTGGCTGGTTTTCCAAACTGTTTCCGATTTCAAACCGACGTTTTACTCATCATCACCCCCCCCCCCCCAAACAGCCTCAGTGCAACGAAAAAAGCAAGCAGCTGCGTCTCTGTCTAGCCCGGTTGAAGAGGTTCCAACCACTAGTGAGCTGTACTTTCTTGCCTTGGGAAGCAGCTATAGGACTTGATCTGTTCTTTCCTAGCAGGCACCATAGACACCCCAGGGTTGCCTGCACTCGCTGGCTTAGGACTGCTTTCTCAGCACCCTCCCCTTAACTTCCAGAGCTCCCAGTAAAAGCAGGGCAGTGCTTCTGGGCTTCTAGCTCAAAAGATTCTTATCTTAAGAATAATTTGTGCGCCTTTAGCACAGCCTTCTCCAGGTCTTTTAGGGAAAAGAAAGAATAAAAGAATCCTGACACTGTCTGAATCTGGCTATTCCTTCAGGCATACATCTTAAAAAGGGACACCATATGGGCAAAACAACAGCCCTGACCCTAAGACCCTGCCACTAGATTTGGGCAAATCATGACATCATTTGTGAACCTGCCCAGATTACAGCCTATTCCCAGAGACCACCTGAAGCCTAAGGCATGTCTCTCTAATTTTTTTCAAACTTCTTGCCTGAGGATGCCAAGCACCCACACTTTACTCATCTAAGGCACAAACAGTGGGTAGGCTTAGGGTGAAATAAGGAGTCCTTTGACACCAACTTCCATGAAGAGGGAGTAGGAAAGACCTACTCTTCCTTCACCTGAACTCAGATTCAAATGAGAAAATCCAGCTCTCTGAGTCCAAGGATGAGCAATCCTATCTCCTCACCAGGCATACTTTTGTTCAATTCCTGCTGTCAGGTGTCAGGCTGAAGTACTGATGTTTTGAACCTGTGTCTTCATCCTGTTTGGACCATATCTACCAAGTTACCTATATCGTTTGGAATCCACTGGTACCACATCCAAAATCACATAGTATTGCTTGGCTGGATCCATCCCTTTCACCTTGATCCGAACAGAAGGAAACATACGCCTGTGGGGGAAAAATATAGGGGTCTGAATGGGAAATAGAACCTGATGTAGGAGATATTAGAGATACTTTGAAGGAAGATGCTGTGCCCTTTCCATGACATGTTCAGAAAGTAGCATTTGTTACATAAGAGAAAGATGGTTGATTTAAAAGTCCAAGATTTCCCAGTGATGCAGACTGTCTTAATGAAAAGCCCTCATCTATGACCTCCCACGTGGCATTTAAAATCATAAGAGAGCAAGTAGGACAGGGAAAGCTTCTCTCCTTTCCTGTACTTTTAGTAGAAGAAGGATATGTGAGGTAGATTTGCAAGTGTTGAAACTGGGAAGACTAGTTAGGAGACTGTCCCACACCAGATGGAAAGGGCACTTTCCAGTGATCTGAGCCAGGGATGGTGTGCTGGAGGACAGTGGATGGGGAACTGTCTGCTGCTATTTGCTCGGCTTGAACTGAGCGGCTCTGAGCGGCTGGCTACAGCGGTAAGAAGTTGGAGACATATCTGACCCTTGCCTGTCTGTGCAAGTCTAGATTTTTGCATACAGTGCAAAGGCAGGAGTTGAAAGAGTGAGTCCTTGGAGTAAGGATGTATCAGAAAATATGAATAGAGGATTTAATGCAACTAGGTACTTCCCAGAGCAACAGACTGAGTAGTCTGTGGCTTTCTAAAGTCTGCCAAAGAGTGGGGAGAGGGAGGAGTTTCACGTTACAAAACTGGATTCTCCTCCTTAAGTGCCTACTGTGTGTGATTCGGCAAAATCATTGCCCCAGGCGAACCTGCCGGCCTTGGTAATGATCATCTCAGTCCCGATGTCGTGGAATCTTTTCCATAGATCAGATCCCTGAAGCTCCACTTGGATAATATTTTTTTCTTGCACACTTTCCTGGCCGTTGCCCTCGCCACCAGAGCAGTCGGATAAAGCAGATTTTGAAGATTCCGCCTTGCGTCGCTTTTCTGCCAGACAAGGAGTTTGAGAGTTTGGCAGGCTGCACACATCCTTTTGTTAGGAGACTATCATTGAACTGATAGACCTTGTCCTTCCCCCCAGAAACTCCAGAGTCTGATGCATAAGTTTCCCCCTCAAAGCCCTTTGTGGTTTCTGAATAGAGAGGGGGCCCAATTTCCATCCCACGAAAAGTGGGACCCTTAAAATTCTCTCACCCCTAACCTTCCATGAGCTGAATCCTAAGCTAGATATTTTTGGGAATTTGGGGAACACCCTGCTTCCTACTGAGAGGAACAGCCAGGTCTGGCTCTTAGGATGTTGTAAGGGTGTGTGACTCATTCCTCTAAAAGTAAGCAGGGACCCTCCTTTTCATTGCAAACAAACCAGGGCATTTCCAGTGCGATTTAGACGCTCTAAAATTTGTACTCAAGTCCGGTGGCTAACGGTGTTCCGCAATCCACAACCTGACCTGCAGGGCTGACCCACGACATCCTTGCCACAGCGCAGTGAACCAAACGAAGAAGATCCAATCCAGCCAGCGCGGGTGAAGCGCTCCGGTGAAGCGCACGGGGTGACCGGGCTGCTTCAGTGTACTCACCCGGCTGCTCACAGTCCCCAGAAGCGGTGCTGGGTACCTCCTCCTCTTTCTGTACGCACTGTTCATTCCGCAGCTCAGGCTGCATCTCCTCTCTTGAGTCTTGAGATTTTCTTTTGCTGGGTCTCCCCATCAAGGCCTCCACCGAGAAGGCGTGCGCTCGAGAGCTCAGAGCCATCCCTGGAGGGGAAGAAGTGATTGTGCGCTGCAAAGTTTCAACCTGAGCTGGGGAAGGAGGGAGGGGGAGAGGGAGGGCGTAGAAGAGAGGCAAGGGAGGAAAAGCTCACAGAAAAGAAGTCTTACATCTGAAAACCAATTTTTGGATCCGCACTATAACAGAAAAAAAAATCCCCCTCTGTTATGAATATATTTTTATTTAATTAGACAAAATAAAAGAGAAGGAAGATTAAATGAGTCAAAATCCTACGAGGTGTCGTCTTTCTTCCTTTTTAGTTTCCCTCCCTCTCAGTGGACGTGTGTGTACCATCAGTCCTCAAATCCTTGATTTTGGGACCTGCCAGATCCCAGAATTTGGCAAATGCTGACCCATTAGGGAACAGACCTGCCACCAATGGCGGCTCAAGCGATTGGGAGATACTGTTGCATCCAACTGAGTGAATACCCAGCCGGTCACAACCTCCACTGTTTGTTTTGGAAGCTGTTGAAACGTTAAAAAAAAAAAAAAAAGCGCTGTGAGTGACACTTTAGAGTCTGGTAGGGGGGAGAGACTGGGGGTTGGTCAGAATGGGGCTCCATATAGGCGGGAGGAAAGAAGAGAAGGAGACACAAGGTTACTGTTTTACATTAAATTGTAAAATGCTAAGACATGTGAAATAATTGCCCACGAGGGGCCACTTTTCCAAGAAAGAGCAAATATTACTTAACCAGACTCAGATAAATATATCTAGGATTTTTTTTTTTTTTTTTTTTTTTTTTTTTGCCCTCCTGTGACACCACTGGAAACACAGAAGAGAGTGCAAGCTTTCTTAGCTATGTAGTTAGAGCCTTCAACTGGCAGTGTAGGTAGATGTGCCCACAGAACCTCTTTTTATTAGTGTGGGGGGAGGGGCTCAAGAATATCCCAAACACCACAATCAAAGATTAGAGCCAATCTGTGTCTTCTAGTCCTACCTCTGTAGGACCTACATACCCTCCCCCCACACTCTCTTCAATTTCTCACAATCTGGAAACAGTGTAAGGACTAGAGAGTTACCATCAGCACATGGAGTCTTTGCTCCCAACAATGTGGTGAAAAATAAAGTGCTGAACTATTAAGAAATTGGTTTTAGTGCCTTCTGAAATATCTTCCTGAGTTGGGTTTTGCTTTTCCTTAAAGTGAATAACAACACTGTTTGTGTCCAGAAGAGACTATCAGTATCATTTCCAAGGAATACTTTTGCCTACAAATGTGACATGTTTGCTTTTGTGGCTGTCACTTGGTCACACACTCACTTTTCAACAGAAGTAGGAAATGAGGCACTCTTGGAAACTTGCAAACCAAATTTAATCTGGTGACATTTGTACATTTTAGGAAATTTTCTTCTGTTCTCCTTTGATATATTTAGTCGAAAGTCTTTCAAAGTCAACTTAAATCTAGTAACAATAGGATGGAATTAGAATTAACTTATAATATCCCAATAATCAATTTAAGAATGAAAGGCCTTCACAGAATTTCAATTTCTTTTTTTTAATTTTATTTATTTATTTTATTATTATTATTAATTATTTATTAAAGATTTCTGCCTCCTCCCCGCCACCGCCTCCCCTTTCCCTTCCCCTCCCCCAGTCAAGTCCCCCTCCCTCGTCAGCCCAAAGAGCAATCAGGATTTCAATTTCAACTGTTGAACTGCAAGCGTAGATTTTCCATGAAATAATTGTTAAAGTATTGGTGGGTTATTCAGTCACGGGGAGGACAGCTTTAGGTTAAAGTATTTTTAATAATGTTGGATGTCATGGAAAAGACTTTTTTGTAGTTTGAATGCTGCTGAATGGTGTGATCCAATATAGAGCTTGGAAGATGTTACCTTTATCCTAAGGATACAGAGTAAAGTTGATAAGGCAAGGAGAATTTCAGTGTACAAAGCACTTAGATTGAAAAGATACAGGGTTGGATATAATCTTTGCCACAACTCATGGACATTTCTTTCATCTATCAAAATTCAGAAGTAGACTATTTGTTATTCATTCTTCCTCATATGTACCATTATATGTTCTTATCTAAAAGGCACAGTTCAGAAACAGAAAAGTCAAGAGTTTATTGATTTATTGGTTAATATAAGTCTACTAACAACCGCATAGCATTTGTATTATAGTCTCCCCTTCTGAGAATTTTCCTGCTTTGGAACCTGACTCATTTTATTCACATTGCCTTGTATAGCAAGGGGAAACTTTGCTTAGCAGAGGTTTTGAAGAGATCTCTATAAAAGTTAGGTAAAGGATGTTTGTTACAATGTCACCTCTAGTATTTCACACTGTCTACCATGATATGATTTTCTTTAACCAAGGAAATAGCATATCTTGGCATATAAATTCCTATATTACAAGAAATGTCTTCCTTAATATTTATTATACGCATGCAGTTTAGTCATCCAGAACTTTCTTATTCATGTAACCTATACCCTTCCTATTCCCATTTTAGTAATTATCTGATGATATTACACTGAGGGAAAAAATGTAGCTCCTTTCTTGCTCAAGTTTGCTGGGCTAAAGTGCAAGTAATTCTTGTTACCTTGTATTTACAAAGATCATGCATGTCAGGACCAGCTTTGCAATCTGCTCAGTTGCTCACGATCAGAGCTGCTGGGTACTGGAGGGCATGAAGGAAAATTCATTATGTATGCCCTATCTATACCCAGAAGTCTCCTTTCTGTAGACTCGAGGTTTAATTCGGAAACACATAAGGGTTCTGCAGTACTTACTAAAACTTTGATACCAAGCTTACATATGGAGATATTTTAACTTCCACTCTCCACTTGGAGATAATTATTTCAAATATATGTGCAATATATATGTCTGTCTGTGTATTTTCATACAAATACTATATAATAAAATTAGAAATTGGAGCCTGACTGGACACCCAATGCTATTCATTAGGAGGAGCAGAAGTAACTTCATGATGGAGATTGTTTCCTTCAATTCTTTCTCTCCCTTGATTTCCACTCCACAAGATTATGATGTTTTTATTAAAGCATTGCAGAATAAGAATCAGAAACAAGTTCTTCATGATTTTTTTTAGATCTAGAATAAGCTCTAATGAAAGAACAGCTAAGAAGTGTCAGATATGGGCTGCATCCTCAGATCATTTGAGTACCCAAATTTAACATTTCTTGAACTTGCTCAGGTACATGAAACAGGAAATGATCCCTGTTTGCTTAAGTGAGTTTCGGAATGAATTTTCATTACTTATAGACAGAAGAAATCCTGAAGAAAATACATTCACGTTGACAAGGTTTTGGGAAGACCACCTTGCTACCTTCCTTTTTCTTCTTCTACAAAAAAAAAAAAAAAACTGTTTTATGGATAAGGAAATCTTGAGCTATTGACTCTCTGGTGCAGTAGGAAGTCTTACAGCCAATGGTTACCTGCCCACTGGGGCGTGGCCTCTTAAACTATATAAACTGATGTAGAGCATGCATCTGCTCTCTTTCCAGTTGCTGGATTCGGTTTCTGTTCTCCGTTCAAGCAGAGGATTCTGATTTGTGAGTTTACCCCTATAAATAACCATCTACTTCTCAATTCTGAGATAGTGTGGGATTTCTTTTAAGTGTCCATCCACATTCTGAGGATTGCAAACCTCCAGTACAAACTAGAATCGTAGATGAGTAATCTGAGTTCCTACATTATCTCCCAGGCACACGATAATGAACAGGGGTAGAGCTAAAGCATTAAGAAGACAGACTTTGGGTTCACATTGATTTAATTCAAATCCTGACTGTATTACCTTTTGAATGGCATTCAGAAATCGTTTTGTTGGCATTAAACTAATTTCCCCTTATTATTTCTACCTATAATATTGTCATCATAGACCATGATTCTATAAGGGAATAGATCTATCAAAACATCAAGTAAAATAATTTCTACAAGCAATTTAGCACAATGCCTAAATCAGGGTTCATAGCTGTGTTCACAGTTAAAGAGATAAGAAAATTTAATTTCAAGAACGTGTTAATAGTTGTATCAGCTATACATCTGTAAATTGAGTCCACATCTTAGAAGAACATTCAGGCCAATGTTAAAACCCCAACTTTTGTTTAAATCTTACATCAGATTCAAAAGGTCAAATTGTTAGGACTAATTGCTCTTAAATTGTGAACTTTTAAAATAATTAAAATCAATGAACGAAACCAAAATGTTGCATTTGGGTTTCAAAAATCCATGAAAATATGTCCAGTAGAACACATAATTTGACTTTATTAGCTTTGCTTTTATAACAATATTTTTGGTATTGTATCAGTGCAATGAAAGTGTATATTCTCACATAATTAGATGGATTTGTAAATGATAAGCCAGTAACATAGAACTGTGTTCTTACTCCAGGGAGCTGAGGAAATTGCCCTAACAAATATTAAATAAATTCTCACAGTGGATCCTTCAGTCTCTGGTTTGCATTAATTTGGTATGATCTCTCAAGAACTTCTGTGAGCATATTATCTAACAATTGATTTAGGCTAGGTTATGAGTTATGCATGGAAAACATTGTCACCATTGTTCCTAGAGAGAGTTAGAGAAAAAAGAGAGAAGAGATAAATTCTTATCTTTACTAGTTGTGTTCTTCTCAAGGAAACTTAACTGAAGGAAAAGTTATTTTGCTAAATGTAATTATGTTTATTACTTCAGTATCAAATACTGAGGGTCTTCTTATGATAACAGAACATCAGTCTTAGGCTCATTATATTTCTTATTCTCAAAGTCATATAAATCTTTTTACACTTACCTCAGGACTCAAACTTACTAGATTTGTCTGTTTCTTGTTAGCAATTTTGGCCTCAGAACTCTAAGGATAATTTTGTCCTTGAATAATTTCGGACAAAGTCAATGGATAAGAGAAAAGAAGAAAAGGAGTGCAAGGTGGTCCTATGATATAGTGACGTGAGTAGTGGCAAGAATATGTATCAACTTCTTCAGGAGTAGGCATGGTGTACATAATTAATATTGCTGTGTCTTACATCTTTCAATCTTCACTCATGAAAACATCAAGCTTCAATAAAACCTACACTTTTTAAAAAAGTTACCACTCTGTTGCTCTATTGGCACTATTACAGTAATATGTACTGATGGTGTATATGTTTCAAAACATCATTTTGTATTCCACAAATATATAAAACTATTTTATTATTACAATATTAAAGTGTGAAGTGAAAGCTCAGTTCTTAATATGTGCAGGGCCCTGTGTTCAATCCACATTTCCTAAGTAAACAAACCAACAAACAAAATTACAAGAGTACAATAAGTATGACCAGCATAGGTCACTTGACAAGCAATATACCAAGTTTATTCCATTAATAAATTATTGGAAAATACTTTGAAGAATCATTTCATTTCTCTAAAGCTATGGGAAAATGTGCTTTTATAATTCTGATCCACGTACCTTTTCAACATTTTTTTGTTGAAATGTTTTCATATAAAACATGATTTTATATGCAAGCAACAGCGCCCAAACCCTGACTCTAAGTCAGTGGCTCATGTTCCTCTAACTTTGTCTAATCTAAACATCCATGAACCTGACCTGCCCCAAAGAAGAAAAGCTTCACACCATAGGCTGTAGTCCACCAAATCTTAGGCCTTTGTCATCTCTACAACTCTCCTTGGGCATTCTAGTATATTCTCACTCCTTAATTTATTACTCTGCTTCACCATGCTCAGGGCAAGTGAATAAATTGTAAATGGATTGCCTCTGTATCTCAATGATGATCTTTATTATATCAGGGATCAGCAGTATCTAGCACCTACAAAGGATGAAGTGTTTCGTCTAAGTCTTTCAAAATATTAAATATAGGTAGACATCTACAGTGGCTATGCTTAACGCCAGAGTTATGCTTACTTTTATCTGTTGTCTTTCTTTACTAGGATTTTACCCAACTAGAAAAAAAGTTGTTCCTGCTTGAAGTAAATGTTCATCAAGTCAGAAAATCCTAGGTACCAAAAATACCAATAATAAAGTAATAAAGGGAAATATGGAGACCTGTATTAGAGGAACCGCTGAAATGAGCATGAACATACTCTTTGGACTTACCATATTTAAATTCCTACATAAGAAGAGGAAGGAAGAACAAAACTGATAGCTATGTGTGCTAGCAAATAGAATGCAGCATTGAGATCTTTGTGCTACAATATATGCCCTGAAAACACTCAGATTATTGCTGACTTAGAACAGTTTTTAAAAATTACATTAGTAAATCATCTCAGTAAAACGACTGCCACTTCTCCAATCTCTGCCTTTGTGTCTCCAGCCTTTGTGACTCACATTGCCAAAAAGGTTGATAGTTAGTTGGAACATTTGATTATTTATTTTATGATAGTGCATCCATGATTGTTTAAATCATGTTTGCATATTGCTCATGATGATTTTTAATTTTTCAGTTCAGTAATGCAAGTGATACTTAGGTAAACAGTTGGATTACAGGATTCAAATACACTAGTATTTTAGTAAACATTAAAGCAATTGGTATCAATATTCAAAACTGAGTTCAGATAGTGCTTCTAATCTATTTTATCACATGGACACAGATTTTGAAACTGTCAATCTGAATTAATGGCTGCTCAATATTTCATATCTTGCCTGCCAAACGTCCTTTTTCCTTGTATATTTTATTTTCCCCTCTTATTGAAATTAATTCTTTTCTCTTGCAATATATCCTAATTACAGTTTCCCCGCCCTCTATTCCTCCCCATTCCTCTTCCACCCCTCCCATCCAGAGCCACTTTCTTTCTGTCTATCATTAGAAACGAATAGGTTTCTAAGATGTAAAAACAAAACATAACAAAATAAATTAGAATAAGATGAGACAAAAAAACACCACATTCAAGTGGGACAAGGCAAACCAACAGAAGGAAAAAAGTCCAAGAGAAGGCACAAGAATCAGAGACCTAGGAGTCCCATAAAATACTAAACTGAAAATTATAAATATACCTTGGAACAAACAACTCTAAATGGGATATCTCTATCAAATCCCTCCCTTCAGAGCTCAGGGAATCCCATATAGCAGGAAGCAGAAAGAGTGTAAGAGCCAGAGGGAATGGAGGAAGCCAGGAGATCAAGTATACCTAAGTCAACTGAACAAAACTCTTATGTTTTCACAGAGACTGAAGCAGCAAGCACAAGACTCACATGAGTCTGCACCAGGTCCTCTGTGTATATATCATGGCTGTTAAATTTTCAGTAATTTTCATTGACAAGCATATATATTTTCATTTCCTCCTTGTTTAATAGCCATCTTTTTGACATCCCCCATTGTCTCTTTAACTAGAGGTTTTTTTTTAAAAAAAAAAGATTTAGTAATGTTGTTTTTAGCTATATGAACGTGTGTATATCTGTGTGTGGATACCTGCACGTGAGTGCAGGTACCTGTGATGTCCAGAAGAGGAGGATGAATCCCATAGGGCTGGAGTCTCAGGCGATTGGGCGGTGCCTCAGGTGGCTGTGGGGGAATAGAATTCAGGCCCCTGGAAGAACAATAGTTGCTCTTAACTGCTGAGCCACTCCTCTAGCCCTGACTAGAGTATTTCTTTATGTACTCATTCACCTTTACTTGTTTTGACAGAAGGCAAAATTCTGAATAGTTATTTGAGTTTGTGTCTGTGTATTCTGTGAAAATTCTGTGAAAATCTGTAAGAAGATTTTTAGCCATAATTATGAGGACATCTATAAAGTGATACAAACATTTTCTACAGGAATGATTTTTTTCTTGACAGAAGTTCTATCTACCTTTCATCATTATTTTGTTTTGGATTTATAAAAATTTTAAAGTCACTTTATAATAAAAATTTTAAATTGTATTTATTTATGCCTTTTATGTATGGGTGTTCTGCCTGCATGTATGCTTACAGGCCAGAAGAGGGCACCAGATCTCATTATTGATGGTTGTGAACCACCTTGTGGTTGCTGGGAATTGAACTCAGAATCTCTGGAAGAACAGTTAGTGCTCTTAATTACTGAGTCATCTCTCTAGGCTCTAAATGAAACTTTTGTTTTAGTGTGATGTGTTTATCTGATGCACATTTGCTATCTTTTGTGGGAAATGTACTGATGAATTCAAGTCGCTACAGTAGAGGGAACATGAGGTACTGTCACAGGCTTGAGAGAAATGTTTGAAGACTTACAGTTTATCTCAAGTCTTCCAGAAGCAAGAAAGCAACCTTAAGGATGCAGTATCTGCTGACAGAAAGCTCAGTGGGCCTCTACTTCCCTTCTTTGTCCCTCATCTACCTCTTGTGCTTCTGTATCTTTGCTTTTCTTTATCTCACTCTTGTGTTCCTTCCTAAAGGTTTCTGCTTCATGTTTCTTTATGTCTCTTCATTTCTGGCTTTCGCTTTCTTCTTTTTCCTTTGTATTGTCCTCTTTTTATCTCTCTCTCCCTTCTAGTATATTTTATTTTTCATTTTTCCACATTCTTTTTTTTCTGTCATTTCTATGCAACCTTTGCTCTTTCAGTAACAAGCAGAAGATCTGAGAATGAAGGAATGCATTATGTCCGATCTACAATAACCTCTGTAATGTCCTTTCACTATCAAGTATTTTCTATATTGTCTTTTACTAATCTAAATAAAAATGTATATGACATGTATTCTTGTGTAGGGAAGATGGATATGTATGTGTGGCTGTGTGTGTTACAACTGCTGTATCTGAACTCAAAGTCTCTTGAGAGAAAACACGAACAAATAAAAGATGCTTTGACAAACACTGACGAACTCTGCTGCCCTCTGTGGACACAAGTGAGTCTAAAGGGGCTCAGGGAAAAAAAAAAACCTGCAACCTTCTGGTTCAGCGAGCCAGGGCTCCTCAGCTTGTGAAGAAGGAATAACTGCACACAAACTTCAGCCAGGGTCACCTCTCAGTATCAAGTATTCAGATAACAGTCTTTCATGTTAGCCATAGTTCTCACTCTTCAGTCAGGTACAAGAATCCCTTCTTACACCCAGGCTCCCAAAACTTACCTTGGCATTCCTAACTTAAGGGAAGCATAACCTCCTCTGCTCCAGCGCCTTCTGTCTCAGCCCAGAGGTAGAATTTTGCTGGTCCTTTGAAGATTCCCTCAACAGACAAGCTACTTCTAGTCTTCATTCATTTCGAGGAGCACTCATTCCACTTCAAAAGACAGGCCAGTTGTTCTCAACCTTTCCAGTGCTGTGACACTTTATACAGTTCCTCATGTGCTGACCCCCCACCATAAGATTATTTCGTTCTTACTTCATAACTGTAATTTTGCTCCTGTTGTGAATCACAGTGTAATATTTTTAAAGGTACAATGTTACCAAAGGGCTGGTGACCCACAGACTGAGAACCACTGCTGTAGGAGGTAGTGATTTCAGGATCTCTATGACACCATCAAGTCTGACTGTAGACGAATCCTCCTAATCTGAAAGACTTGACTAATGATATCTAAGAGGGATGATGGAGCCTATAAAGAAAACTTTCAGAAGATACCCAAAGAAAAGCAACAGCCTAGCGAGAAAGGCGAGGGAATTTACCTGGCAGGCAAGAAGCAGTGGTATGTCTCTGGGTGCCCATGGTGGTGATGCCAGACGAGTCTCAGGCTGAGTTCTTCCACTTCAAAGATACCCAGGCTAGCTCTTCTGTGAGCCCAGTGGTCACTCTGCCTAGGGTCCAGGCACAAGTGAACTGCACAAGAGAACTTGCAGATATTTCCAGAAGTGGGAGGAGCAAAACTTGTTACTTCCTAGAACTGACCCTGCTGGCACCTTCGTTCACGCAATTTCAACCGGCTTTGACTCAAGGTCAGTCATGAAAGAACAATGATATGATTTCAGCCTTCAGGGCCACGAGGGTTCTGGGAGGACACGTCTCTCTGTGTCTGCCCTTGCATCTTTGCCTGGCTGCATCCTTCTCTCAGCTTTAGGCCGGCATACTTAGAGGGGAATGCAAGGGGGAGTGGGAGTAGTGCCTCCCAAGGACTGAACAACAAGAATAAGATGTGGCTTAGCTTTAAAGTGCAATGCTTTCCTTTTTATCCTAAACATGTGCAGTTACAGTTGAAAATCTCTTTCAAGCCCCTATAACTGCGGTTTAGCAGGTTGGTAGGTGAGACCCCACTCCAGACATACTCTCTTCCTTGTTGTTTAGCAAGCTAGCAACTTAATCACAGTGAGCCAAAGGTGACCTGGTGGGGCCTGTGACCTGGAAAGTGTGTTTGCTCTTAATGTCTGTTCCATCTTCCGGTCCCCAGAACCCACACATCTAAACCTTAAGTCTCTCTTTCAATATATCTCAGCATGTTTCATTTTATTCCCGGTCAGATTTATCACCTCAGGACAGCTAAGAGAGAATCGTAAAGGACTATGGCTTGCAACTGAGTGACCCAAAGTGACTTCAAATATTTATCCTTTAGTTGGAAAGGCTCCCCAAGAAATCAGATTCTTGCTTAGTGTAGGCTAATGGGAACACACTTGAGTTCTCTTCTATGTTTTATACTACTAAAGCAGCACATTTTCAAGGAAGGAGGACAATTTCTGTCATTGGTCATTTGGCTGCAGCACAGTTGCATCCCCGACAGAGTAAAAGGAAGGAGCAAGTGACCAAAGAGGGCTATTCGTAGCTTCACCAAAATTAGACACCGAACTGTTAGGGTGAGAGGCATGAAAGGTCTGTAAATGGATGCCTGAATTCTTGACATTTCCAATTCGGTAAGTATCCATCAAATCTAAGATGTGTCTGAGCTCTTTCCTCTGACAATAGTCAATATCTAAAGAGGAATATAACACCTTTTAAAGTAGTTTTTTCTGATATCTATTTCTCTTTTCCTCAAGGAGAGTATAAGGGGAACTTTGCTTCCTGTTTGACTTCTGTAAGGTTTTTTTTTTCAGTTTTAAGATAAAACATCACTGTAATAAAGAAGTTTCAGCCATATTTATAGGGAACTCAGAAACAAGATTTTTGAGTACTTCGACAATTCCTAAAATGATGTGTGTGTGTGTTGTGGAGTGGAGTTTGTGAGTATGTAAGAGCAAGAGCTAGAGGGTGCAATGGATAAAGGAATAACACACCTACCTATCCTAGAGATGACGTGCATTTTGAGATATGGACAAATCTGTTTCTGGTCCTTGTTTCATGTCGGGAAATGTGTTTCCTGTCGTAATTGGAGCTATTCGCTTTTGGTGATATTTAAAACGAGACCAGCTGAGTGGAGCCAATGTTTGGTTAACCATGAAGGAAATGGCTCTTGATCAGGCAGGCAATTATCAACCAGATCTGATCACTTCCCAAGCAAAATAAAGAAAATTTTAACTATTTTTCTGCGAGATTGCACATGAAAATTATTATGAATGAAACAGTCTCTCTTTCTCTTCCTTTCTCTGTCTCTGTCTCTTTCTCTCTCTCTCTTCCTCTCTCTCTGTCTCTGTCTCTTTCTCTTTTCCTCTCTCTGTCTCTCTCTCTTTTCCTCTCTCTGTCTCTGTCTCTCTTCCTCTGTCTCTGTCTCTGTTTGTCAGTTTGTCTGTCTGTCTGTCTGTCTCTCTCTGTCTCTCTCTGTCTCTGTCTGTCTGTCTCTCTCTCTCTCTCTCTCTCTCTCTCTCTGTCTCTCTCGTGTGTGTGTGTGTGTGTGTGTGTGTGTGTGTGTGTGTGTGTGTGTGAGCAACAAGCACTGGGGAAAGGATGAGAGTGAGTCTCATCACAGAGTAAAGGCCCATTCTGGGAGCTTTTAAATGTCTCTTCAGTGGGCATTCAGGAGGATGGCTTTGAACAAATAGGTGCTGGTGGTGGATGACCCCCACCCCGCTCAATGGAGCTGAAGAGGCTAATGTCTACACTGGAGTAACACAAAAGAACTGGGACTTCTTCCCTCTGATATCCTTTTGAGTTCAAAGTCCTCCTTTTCAGTTCTTCACAGTCAGGTAGTGGCAGATTATTCACCTTTGGCCTTTAGGGTGTCGTGTTCGGAGTGAGCTGTGATGTACAACAGAATGTGGTGGGTGAAAAGCTTGCCAGACCCTGCTTCAGCACACCTCTGGGCACATAAAGCACTAGGTATATGTGATGAGAGTAGGCAATGCCAGGAAGGTACAACCGACTCCTGATGGCTCCTACCAAAAGTATTTGGAAAAGACGTTCAAACTGTGAGAAGAGCTTGGTTTTCCACACAAAATCTAGGTCACTTTGATAGCATTCTGAAAAGACATCAGGCTCAGATGTGTGACTCCCAGCAATAACCAACAAGTAGTGTATCTGAAGCTTGGAACAAGTTGCTTTTTATATGCACTGTGCTAAATCTCATAGTGGCAAGGATGATTTAAGGAACTTCATGCCCCATTATGCAGATAACATAATCAAGGCTCACAGATAGCATATTAATGGTAGTGAGCTAGCAATATCTAGACTTACATGACCTTTGGGAAAATTAGAAAACAAAGGATTAGAAAACTTAGAGATTAAAAAGTGTGGAATTTGTCCTCATTCTAGAGCTCCCTTCGGCCTTATGTCCTTGCAGGGACTCATAGAAAAAGAAACTGGGCAGGATTTGTGCCTTCAGAGCTGAAACCTCGCTTAGCAGGCAGGAAACAAGTTGGTTTCCATGATCTGCTGGCCTTGCCTTTCTGCTATTAACTCCTAGAAGCAAACCTGTGCAGCAGCAGAATAGGTAGCTAGGCGATGGAGCGAATACTCTGCTGAGAGCCTAATTCGATTCTTCGGCTCTATAAAACCCGGGTCTTAATTCAGTGGATCAGGTCTGGAGGGGTTCCTATGTGCTTCAGCTCCCTCTCCAAGGTGCTCTTGTAGATCTTCACAGAGACTGATGTCATTCATCAGGACTTCTAACTGCTCCCCACTCCCCACTCCATGGAATAGTAAAGTTCTATCAAGGGCAACGGAGCCTTTTCTTTTCTTTCCTTTTTTAACATTTTCAATTGAAATATTTTTATCACACAATAGATTTTAATGTTTTCCCCTCCCAAATTCTACCCAGAAACCCTCAGATTCCTACTCACCCAACTTTATGGTCTCTTGTTCTCTCTAAAATACAAAGAAAATGAACCAACAACAAGCAAACAAAGAAGAAACACACACACCAACTCTACAAAACAACAAAATTGAAAATAAAAATAAAAAAGCCAAAGACAAGTAACACAAAAAAATGCACTGAAAGAGCAAAATGAGACAAGTTCAGTTTAATTTGCACTGGCCAACTACTCCCGGGCCTGAGGCCTGTCCTGATGTGTTGTCAGTATACCATGAGACTGCACGGGAGAAAACTTTTTTTTTCCTTTGCAAGCAGGTGCCAGTTGTAGCTCCTTGATTAGGGATGGGTGCCCATGTCCACCTCCCCCTCTCAGTACTGGGACCCCATCTGGCTTGAACTTGTGCAGGTCGTATGCGCGCTGCCACAATCTCTGTGAATTCGTATGTGCTGCACCAGCCCTGTTGTTTCCGGAAGACACTTTTCTCTTGGGTTTATGTTATCTCTACCTCTTAGACTCTTTCTGCCTCCTTTCCCACATAGCCTTGAGGAAAGAAGGGCTTTAATGAAGACATCCCATTTAGAACTGAGTGCTCTGAAGTCTCACACTTTCCACACATTGTCTAGTTATGGGGGGGGCACTCTGTAGCAGTTGGCATTTACTGCAAGAAAAAGCTGCTCTGATGAAGACTGAGTGAGGCACTGATCTATGAGTATAGAAGAATGCTATAAGGTGTCATTTTATTGCTGTGATCCTTAGCATAATAAAAGTGTTAGGGTTTCCCTTAGGCTCACGACATATCTTGCCTAACATTCTTGGTCATTTTCCCATTGTCAAGTATGGATTGCATTCTATCTCATGGAGTAGGTCTTCAATCCAATCAGAAAGTGGTTAGCTACTCCCTTAATATTAGTGCCACTGTTGCATCAGGACACACACACACACACACACACACACACATTTAAGGTAGTCTACTGTTGTAGGATTCAAGATTGTAGCTGAAAGATATTGGAGATTACCTTTCCTGTCTGATAATATGTAGTGTACTTTCCGGTATCACAAACAGTGGTCAGTAGGGGTGAAACTTTTGGTTAGACAGTAGCTAAACTTCTTTATGTCGGTGACATGTGTAAATGTTGTTCAGCAAGAGGGCCTTACCATCAGGTTGTGGAGAGTAACAAATAATTTTGGCAATACCTCTCGGGATTTCTTTCTCTGGGGCTCCTCTGGACAACAACTCAACATGATGTAACCCATTCCTGCCACTGGAGGTTTTGTTTGATGGTATAAAAGTTCTAGTTGAGCCACTGTCTCTATTTAATTTTGTGTGTGTGTGTGTGTGTGTGTGTGTGTGTGTGTGTATGAGTCTACAGTGGTAGACTTCCATATGGTTTTGAAATGACCTTTAATATTAGTTCCTCCCATAGTTTACCCTTTGTCCCTCTCTTCCATCTTCTTCACTATTTAACTATCTTATTCTAGTTTCCAACAGGACTTTCTCCCAGACTCCTTAGGAAGTCACATCACAGGAGTCCTCTGTGTCTGTGTACTGACTTAGGGCTTATGACTTACTGCTCACTTTCCTAGCAAATCCAGGCAAAACCTTTGACATGAACCATGAGATAACTGCTTTGTTAAGAATTTTATTTAATGAGAAACCAACAGCTTTTCAGATGCTTTCCCCTTGTA